GAACCTCCGTCAGTTATGTCCAGACGCTGAGAAAACCCTAAAAAAATATATCAGGCCTTACAAAGAAAAGCAACTTGTAATAACAAAGTATTTTGAGCATGCATAAGCTTTTCGTAATTTACGAACTGTTTCCTCGTGTAACAAAGTAAATAAGTTTGAAGTATGTGTATGTTTACTTCGTAAGGTTTTAAGGGTGGAGGTTTCCTTTTCTAGCAGATGACACCTTTCTTTTCTTCAAGAAGTATGACACTTGTACTATACCTGCCGGAAACTCGTACAAAATAGAGACAGTGCTTTTTTTTATTTTTCGAGATAACAGGCAATGCTTTTCATTACAAAACCTCTCTGGAATTTCAAACTTTTTTTTTGACAGGGCGCCAGTGGCGTGCCGCGCCTTGTCAAGTCCGTGCCAGACTTTGCACCACGCGGTGGTCGCGGTCAGCTAATGTCTGGGAAGCGCCAGGGCACTTACCTGTCTCTCCCGCACCCCTACGCGACGGGACGTCTCATTAGTGCGACAAAGAGCGAATCAGTCTGCAGCCAGCACGGCCCGAGGGGTTGAGGGTCCTGAGACAGGGACTGAGTCTAGCCAAGGGAAACACAAGGGAAACCCAAGGGAAACACAAGGGAAACCCAAGGGAAACACAAGGGAAACGCAAGGGAAAGCCAAGGGAAACCAAAGGGAAACTCATCCATGGGAACGAGGACATGCCTCCAATTTCACCCTCCTCCCTTCCCCCGTGGAAGTAGCCACTTGTGTTGTGATGCATGCAGACAGCACTCACACGGATCCGAACAGCAGAGGATCAATCGCGTTGCGAACTTTTGCAAGTCAAAGTTTGTGGCCGCAACATTGTGGCCACAGAAATACTCTGCCTATAGATTTCACTGGCACCCCGTCCCTCGAACCGCTTCGGCTTTGATTGGGCACAGTCGGCCAGAAGACCGGTGGAGGCGGCCAAACCTCTAGACGCGTTTTGAGCTTCAGAGTCGCAAAACAGAACTCGAACCGAACGTGACCCCACAAATGGATTCCTCGTTCGGAGAGGAATCCATTGGTGGGGTCACCTGTTCGGCCTCCACCGGTCTTCTGGCCTACTGTGTCGGGGCGTGTAGCGCCTGCGAGGTAGGCCACCCATTCGCCTTCACACAGGTGTGTGTTGCGGGCCAGATAGGTGGCCTACCTCGCAGGCGCTTGAGGCTCTGAAGTCAGCCGTCTGGATCACTGACCATCTGGTCGTTTGCGTCATTTCTGTTCGGCCACCACTTCGTGGCCACAACCAGGGACATCTTCAACCCAACCTTGCGTGCATTCAATCTTTCAATTCAGAACAGTGTGCCGAACTTCCCCTGCCTAGAAACCTGAGGTCGACCTACTGTGCCTGACAGGCTGCCATGTGACAAAAAGAAAAGCACACTCATAAAAAGAGCTAATCCACGACGATTGCGCCGGGAGTTAAAAGGAAGAGTGTACAGTAAATGGTTCTCCTCTCGATGGGATAGTCATGGTCAAGGGCACTGAAGGAGCTATATAAGGATCAGTCTTCTCATGACGTTGTCCTGTGCGCCTAATCCCCGGTGCAGGGCCGCTCGAGTGCTTCCGAGTCGATTGACGATTAGACCAATTGGGTGCTTGGGATAGTGCGGGTGGTTTTGAGGTCACACGGTGGGATTAGGGAAGCAATGCCTTGAGTGGTGCCTAGCACTAGGCCTGACCGGCCGTCAGTAAGCTGGTTCCGGACCGTGCTTCGTCGCTCTGTCTGATTGACTTGCCAGTAAACTTTCTTGTTCCCAATTCTGCGCCGAGTGATTCAATTGGTTCTTACATCTGCTCGCGAAGTTGGCGCGTCAGAAATCAAAGAGGTTATGGAGTCAAGACGGCTGGCTGGCTGGTTAGCGCGGTGAAGCTAACTGCCCCGGGTCAGGGGAGGGAAGGGAAAGGGGCGGGGTAGCGCAAGCTTCGCGCTCTCCAGAAAATCTGAAAATAATGACTCAAAATGAAACGATGGTGGATGCATGGTCAAGTAGCCTGGCCTGACTGCCAGCTAGGGAAAATGTGCCCAAACACTGCGGCCACGGCCACCGGTTACCGGTTGCCCGGGAAAATACAGGACAGTGCGATGGGTGGCCTACCCTGGCTGAGCCGCAGGCGCGCCTGCCGAGCGGCGTTCGGGTGGCTGGCGAGCAGTGGTGGGGGTAAGGCAGTGGGGATCGGGCAGTGGCGGCCAAGGTGGAGGGGCAGCAAAGGGTAGGATAAGGCTCCAGGGGCACCCACGGCAACCCCCGCGACTACCCCTTCAGAGTCGCGACCACCCTGCTTTGCAAACACCCTTTCAGAGTCGCGGGTCGCGAGATCCTCGCGAAGATATCAACAGGGGTGCCACGAGGACCCCGCAAAGGGTGTCGCCAGGACAAGCGCCAGGATCTCGCAGCCCGCGACTCTGAAAGGGTGCTTGCAAGACGGGTGTCGCGGGGGTTGTCGTGGGTGCCCTGGAGCCTTATCCTACCCTTTGCGGGCCCCTCCCCTTGTCTGATTGATTTGCCCGAAACCCCAACTGCCCTTTCAATTGTCCCCACTGCTCCCCAAAGTTGCGCTCAAAAACGGGGCCGGGGCTCGGCAGGCGGGGGCCTGCGGCTCAGGGAGGGAAGGCAACACGCATTCCCCCCAAAACTGTTCCTAAAAATTTTCCCGGGCCACCCGGTTAAACATCCCACGCCATTTACTTTACGTATACAGTACTCAGATGCGGCAAAAAAAATGAAGGTTCCACCGAGATTTGAACTCGGATGACAGGATTCAGAGTCCTGAGTGCTAACCATTACACCATGGGGCCGCGGTGGAGCTGATCTGGTGCGCGTCCGAGTCTTTCTCTTTCTACTGTCTCCGATGACGCGGCAGCGGTGTTGGTGGTGGCGGCGGCGGCGGTGGGGGGAGGGGGTAGCCGCGCACCGCTACGCGCCACAGCGCATCTTCTTGGCGGCCGGCCCACAGGGCCCACAGCCGAAAACTTTACGTGCATCCCTTCTGTGCTTTTCACTACGAAGAAAAGCGCCTGTCTTACCATGCCACCAACAATTTCCAGGAGAATTCTACTTGCGTCTGAATTATTCGCGGTGCCGCCTTTCTCTGTAGAACGAGGGTTCTTCTCCAGTGTACGCGACGCGGCGCCAGCTGTCGGCAACGCGACGTGGCCGCGCGGCGAGCGCCTTGCGGGCCCCAACCGCCACGGCAGAGCGCCTTGCGGGCGGCAGTGTAGGCAACCCAACCGCCACGGCAGAGCGCCTTGCGGGCGGCAGTGTAGGCAACCCAACCGCCACGGCAGAGCGCCTTGCGGGCGGCAGTGTAGGCAACCCAACCGCCACGGCAGAGCGCCTTGCGGGCGGCGGTGTAGGCAACCCAACCGCCACGGCAGAGCGCCTTGCGGGCGGCAGTGTAGGCAACCCAACCGCCACGGCAGAGCGCCTTGCGGGCGGCAGTGTAGGCAACCCAACCGCCACGGCAGAGCGCCTTGCGGGCGGCAGTGTTGGCAACCCAACCGCCACGGCAGAGCGCCTTGCGGGCGGCAGTGTAGGCAACCCAACCGCCACGGCAGAGCGCCTTGCGGGCGGCAGTGTAGGCAACCCAACCGCCACGGCAGAGCGCCTTGCGGGCGGCAGTGTAGGCAACCCAACCGCCACGGCAGAGCGCCTTGCGGGCGGCAGTGTAGGCAACCCAACCGCCACGGCAGAGCGTTGGGTGGACCGCCTCGCGGCGCGGCGGAGCGTACGGCAGAGCGCTGCCACGGCGAGGGGACGGGAGATTAATGTCTTTACGGGAGTCTGGCAAAGTTACAACTAACGACTCCACCTCACACTGTTAAGGCGGGGCTCAAGGGGAAGGGTTAGAGTGCAACCGGAATTCAGCGAGTTCTCACCGGACACAACGGCCTTCTTCCCACGGGGGGCCCACACGGGGACAGCCATTGACGTATACCCACTGCTTGTGAGCTCTTGTCAATACCCCTTGCTCTTTAGTTCACTATCCTACCGTCAGCGCTGTTACCGTTACTCCCTGTACAGTGTCGCGCTCTACCGGAGCCTCCGTGCCTGTCAATCTGTGTAACTGTCATCAGTCCGAATTATACCCGTGCCGAGTCAACACCTGCCTTTCCTTCCATCCGTTCAGTCACCCAAATCCCAACAGCCATCACGAAGGATCATTTCGTCGCTGTGTCTCTCTCGCACTCATGCGGCGTCCTGCACAGGTGTGAGAGAGACACAGCGACTGGACGCTGCGCGGCCAGCTGGGTGCCGGCGGCAGATATTGCTGATATCCATTTAATTACAAGCGGAATTTTCAGAAAGATCAATAACCGAGCGCGTTGCCCGAACGCACGTAGGCGACATCCCCCCCCCCTCCTTTCGGACGCCCCCCTCAGAGCACGGCGACGGGGAAGGCCCAGGTGCTGCGGACGCAGCCGCTCGCTGAGAGACAGTTTAAAATGGCTCCGGTGGCGGACTCCTCTCTCTTTCCCTTCACTCTGGCTCCCCCTCCCTCTCTCCCAGCCATCATCCCTCTGCCTCAGCCCTCGGCTAGACTAGCCCCCAGACCCATTCCAAATTGTTTTCTCTGTACAACTGCCGCCCCAGAGCAGGCTGGAGGTAATGGTCACAACAGGCGGGGCTGCAGCCTGAAATAGAAGCTGGAAACTAGAAAATAGGCGCCGGATAGAAAACGGGGCCTGGACTGTGGAGTCGGGGACTCGGCATAATTGGAGCGATCCACTGCCGAGTGGGAGTGCCGTATACGGTTATTCGTTTGCCTTATACGGTTTTTCGTTTGCCTTATACGGTTTTTCCGTTCGCCGTATACGGTTTTTCGTTTGTGTTTTCGTAGTGTGCGCACACTCGAAAAGTATGGTCTGGAATATTCCTATTCATGTTTCTTTTGATTTGTGAAACGTCTTTTTGTAGACAGGGTTGTAATAAAATCGCACGCACTCGCGCAAAAGGCAAATCACTTGGTTTGTTCTATTTCGAAATTGTAAAATAAATAATATGCAGTCACATTGAGTCATCTGGTCATTGATTCTGATTCGCTTTCTCGGGCTTGGCTCCTGCGGGGCGTGCTGCGCAACAGATGGAAAAGCAGAGTGTTACAACAATGAGGTTTACAGTGTGGAAGCACGGCTGCTTGACGGGGTGAACTGACTCTGGCAGGGCCCGGGCCGCACGCGCACGTCGTCCACAGCGAAGCCCCCGTTGCTGGCCTCACCCTCCAGGGCGATGGAGAAGGCCGAGTGGGCCGACACTGTTGTCTGCGCGGACATCCACTGCGGCCTGGCGGTGTCCATGCCCCGCGCGCTCAGCTGCCAGATCTGCAAGTGGGAAACCCGGGTTGGAGGCGGTCAAAATCCCGGACGCGTTTTGAGCTCCAGAGTCGGAGTACATCGTTTGTACGACCTCTTTTTGTCCGACCTGCAGATTCGTCCGACCTCCTTCCCGCTGTTATATTTTTCTACGACCTCTTTTTGTCCGACCTTACCACCGCCTCAGCCCTCAACACTCGACAAACAACACATGGTACCCACGACGGAGTCATATAAAGTTTGGTTTAAAATAAAACGTAAAAAATTTGAACCCTACGACCCTCTCCCCCCCGCAATGGGGGTTCGAGCCGCCTGCTTAACTTCGGTGTTCGGATGGGAACCGGTGTGTCCAGGCTTTAAACTGCTACCGCATAGTTCAGCTTCTGTCGGACCGCTATTGCCTTCTTACACATGAAGGACCGCCTTATGAGGGCAGCCGGCGATCGTAGGGTGACAGAGATAGAGAGACAGAGAGAGACAGACAGAGAAGAGGTTTGGTGGGAGCTTCTTGTTTTCGTAGGGTTGGTTGTGTACCCCATGGTACCCCCACTGTCCGGCGCTCCCGTACCGAACATACAGCGTTTTAGGCCAGCTTCAAAGGACTTATCATCGCCTCCCCGACGAATCGAGGAGGCACCACCCGCAACCACACACCGGATGGTCTGGATTGATGGATCGAATACTCCATCGCTCCAGTGCCGAGGCCAACCCGCCGAAGCGGATTGCTTTTTAGACACCCACAGCGGAGTGGCCAGGTGAATGTGACTCTGACCACTACGCTATCACGCTGTACGTCCGGCCGAGTGTTGGACGACGGGTTTGAGTTGCAGTGGGAGGAAGGCAGTCGAAAAATGTAATGAAATGGTGAGTTTCGATCCCCGGACCCCGTCAATGAGATCTCACGACTTTACGCTCTCGGCCGCCACGGCCCATGATATGTGGAGCGGCATGAGGTGGGTTCTTAACGCTACAGGACTCGACCGACCCGGTCAAAATTTCGCAAGAAGTTGGGGGAGTCGAACCGCCGACCCTTGCACTCGGAATCGACGCCTCTACTCTCTGGACCACCACGTCCCACGCTCGGCGTGGGTTCTCGTTCACGGGTTTAAACCGCACTGGGTGAGGCAGTAAAATTAAATGGAAATATTTGTTAGGAGTCGAACCTCCGGCATGTGGGCCTGTTGCCCACGGCTCCGCTCTGATGGCCTCAAACCACCACCCATAGGATAGCAAGTCGAAAAAACTTTAGTGACGCTGGTATTCGAACGCCGGCCTGCGGTTACTCGATCCCACGTCTCTAACCTCTCGGCTACACCTGTGACAGGAACAAAGCTTCCATCGAGTTTTACCACTGCTGTGATAGCCGAGAGGTTAGAGACGTGGGACCGAGTAACCGCAGGCCGGCGTTCAAATACCAGCGTCACTAAAGTTTTTTCGACTTGCTATCCTATGGGTGGTGGTTTGAGGCCATCAGAGCGGAGCCGTGGGCAACAGGCTCACATGCTGGAGGTTCGACTCCTAACAAATATTTCCATTTAATTTTACTGCCTCACCCAGTGCGGTTTAAACCCGTGAACGAGAACCCACGCCGAGCGTGGGACGTGGTGGTCCAGAGAGTAGAGGCGTCGATTCCGAGTGCAAGGGTCGGCGGTTCGACTCCCCCAACTTCTTGCGAAATTTTGACCGGGTCGGTCGAGTCCTGTAGCGTTAAGAACCCACCTCATGCCGCTCCACATATCATGGGCCGTGGCGGCCGAGAGCGTAAAGTCGTGAGATCTCATTGACGGGGTCCGGGGATCGAAACTCACCATTTCATTACATTTTTCGACTGCCTTCCTCCCACTGCAACTCAAACCCGTCGTCCAACACTCGGCCGGACGTACAGCGTGATAGCGTAGTGGTCAGAGTCACATTCACCTGGCCACTCCGCTGTGGGTGTCTAAAAAGCAATCCGCTTCGGCGGGTTGGCCTCGGCACTGGAGCGATGGAGTATTCGATCCATCAATCCAGACCACCCGGTGTGTGGTTGCGGGTGGTGCCTCCTCGACTTGTCGGGGAGGCGATGATAAGTCCTTTGAAGCTGGCCTAAAACGCTGTATGTTCGGTACGGGAGCGCCGGACAGTGGGGGTACCATGGGGTACACAACCAACCCTACGAAAACAAGAAGCTCCCACCAAACCTCTTCTCTGTCTGTCTCTCTCTGTCTCTCTATCTCTGTCACCCTACGATCGCCGGCTGCCCTCATAAGGCGGTCCTTCATGTGTAAGAAGGCAATAGCGGTCCGACAGAAGCTGAACTATGCGGTAGCAGTTTAAAGCCTGGACACACCGGTTCCCATCCGAACACCGAAGTTAAGCAGGCGGCTCGAACCCCCATTGCGGGGGGGAGAGGGTCGTAGGGTTCAAATTTTTTACGTTTTATTTTAAACCAAACTTTATATGACTCCGTCGTGGGTGCCATGTGTTGTCTGTCGAGTGTTGAGGGTTGAGGCGGTGGTAAGGTCGGACAAAAAGAGGTCGTAGAAAAATATATCAGCGGGAAGGAGATCGGACGAATTTTGGCAGGTCGGACAAAAAGAGGTCGTACAAACGATGTAGACCCCTAGCGTCGCTAAGTGGTACTCGAACCGAACGTGTTACCCCTCCAATGGATTGTTCTTCGAACGAGGAATGGTGGGGTCACACGTTCGGTTCGAGGCCTGTTAAGCTACTCTGCAGCTTAAAACGCGTCTAGAGTTTCGGCCGCCTCCACCTGTGCCCGCCTGTGCCCCTTCGCCTGACCGTGATCTCGGGGTTCTTGTGGTCCTGGTCCACGCGCACCACCCTCAGCAGCGTGGAGTCCACCTGTCCGAAGGCCGCGAACCAGAAGCTGAGGCAGACGGGCTCCCCCGCGTCCAGGTCGGGGGACTCAAGCCGCGCCCGGCGCAGCACCTTGGACAGCGAGAACATGTCGAAGAAGACGTAGCCGCCTGCAGGTGGAGAGAGACAGAGCCATCAGTCTATTGTTGCCTTGCGGCCAACTTGCGGCAGCCGTCATCAACATTTTTCATTTTAAACTTTTCGCACCTGGCGCGCGGAAGGTGTTGTCGCTGAGCCTGGCGGGGCGGTGCTGGCCGCCGGCGGCGGCGTGCTGCCACCCGGGCGACCTCCCCGTCGTGGTCCCCGCCGTGCCGTTCCACCAGCCGCACGTGTCCGCGCTGAAGGAGCAGTCGGCCGGCGAGGCCAGCGCGCTGGACGGCAGCCCGGGGCACTTGGCGTGGTACAGCACGATGTCGTCCACGGCCAGGACGCCGGCGTGCTGCCCCGGCCCCCACTCGCCCTCCAGCTCCACGATGAAGGTCCAGTTGGCGGGCAGCGGGACGCGCGCGGGCCGCCAGGCGGGGCCCTGCGCGTTGTACAAGGCCCACAGCGTGGCGGACTGGACGGCGTTCGCGTCCTCGCCGTCCGCCGCCCCCTTGACGGCCACGCGCAGCGCGCCCAGCCCCGTCGACATGCCCCCGGACGGCGACGGCTCGTGCACCAGGTACCTGGCGGACAAGGACAGACAATGAGCTCGCCCCAAGAGTGCGAGACAGACGCAGCTGGAGACCCACCAGAAGGCGAGGCACAGCGGCTCGTCCGTGGAGGTGATCGGCAAGGATACCAGCGTGGTGGACGGCGACGGCGAGGAGCCGCCCGGGGACGCCGGCATCTGCAGCCCCAGGAAGAAGTCTGCAAAGCGAGGACAAAATCTCGTTAAGTGGAGACCACACTGCAAAGGACATGCCGCCAAGTGGCTCAAAGTTGATCAAAACGGTCAAAAATGCCTATGAAAAATCGTGTTTTGGGCCGACTTTAAGCAGTCACTGCGTCCGATCCGAGGCGGTATTTCGTCCTCCCAACGGGCAATTGGTATTTGGACCTTCCTTAAGCGTGCCTTTGTTACGGAGTGCGATTATGCGCCTTAGTTTGGGTGCACACGGTAAAAACGGTTCCTGGTTTTCCCAGGAACTCCCTGGAAATCGCCTATGCCTTCACCATTGGCTTCCTGGGAAAACCAGGTTCCGTTTTTACCGTGCAGTATTGGCTCAAAGTTGATCAAAACGGTAAAAAATGCCTTTAAAGTCGGTTTTGATCAACTTTGAGCCAATACTGCACCCAAACTAAGGCACATATTCGCACTCCGTAACAAAGGCATGCTTAAGGAAGGTCCAAAGACCAATTGCCCGTTGAGGGAGGACGAAATACCGCCTCGGATCAGACGCAGTGCGGCTGCTTAAAGTCGGCCAAAACCCCCTAGGTACATCGTCGCGGCCCCTAGGCCAGGGTGGCCGCAAGTCTCGCAAACGCACCGTTCCGGAGCCCCGCGCCGTCTTGGCCGTGGCCGCCGTGGCCGCCGGGCCCGTGGGGCCGGCGCTGCAGCGTGGGCGGCAGTGTGGCGACGGGCAGCCTGGCCCACAGCGAGGTGGCCGCCATGCCGCGCCACCCGCACTCGTCCACCTCCATGGAGCAGTCCGGCGGCATGCGCGGCACGCGGCGCGGCGCCGCCAACGCCGGCCTCCGCGCGCCCGCCACCTGCGGGGACACTGTGAAGCCGAAGGTGAGCACAAGGTCACGAACCGAACGTGTGACCCCACCAATGGATTCCTCGTTCGGAGAGCAATCCATTGGTGGGTAACGTTCGGTTCGAGTCCCATTTAGCGACTCTAGAGCTCAAAACGCGTCTGGAGTTTTGTCCGCCTCCACCGGTCTTCTGGCAAATCCACGGTGCCTCGTAAAGGACACCCACCGGGGCACGGGCCGGGGTCCAGGCTGATGTTGTCCACGGCGATGTCGCTCATGCCCACGGCGCCCACGGACGCCTCGATCACGACCTGCAGACCGACGACCGACACAGTGTAAAGATAAGAACGTGGCAGCCCGCAGTCCGCCTCAAGTGGATCAGTGGGTCGGTAAGTCTTTGCGGCGCTACACTGCACACAGACACCTGTGCCAGTGTGGCAGAACGCCGGGTGGGTAGGCCGCCCATCCGACCGCCCAGCAGGACGGGTTGCCTGCGCGCCAGGCGCTCTGGAGCGCCGAGTTTCAGTCTCTGTTCGATTACGGGCAAATGAGAAATTTGAGGTGCATGCCGGTGTTTGAACCCTGACCCGGAAGTGCTGCGGCTCGGCCAGGGTGACGGCGCCGCGGAACCAGGCGTTGCCCGCGTCGCCCGTGAGCCGCCAGACGTCGCGCTCGCCGCCGGACGACGCCAGGACGATCCGGAGCGTGCCGACGTCCACGCCGAACATGTGGAACCAGAAGCGGAGGCAGCTGGGGAACAGCGGGTCTGGAAGGGGAAGACAGCGCTCTGTCTCTCTCGCACGCAAGGGGCGTGCCGTGGCAGTGCGAGAGAGACAGAGTGGCGCACAGTGGGCCAGAAGGCCGGGGGAGGCGTTTTGAGATCCAGAGTCGCTAAGCAGGACTCGAACCGAACGTGTGACCCCACCAATGGATTGCTCTCCGAACGAGGAATCCATTGGTGGGGTCACACGTTCGGTTTGAGTCAAGTTTAGCGACTCTGGAGCTCAAAACGCGTCTAGAGTTTTGGCCGCCTCCACCGGTCTCCTGGCCCACTGCGTGACGATGGACTTTACCACTGGCGGGCAGCTCCTCGCTCTCCAGCCGCGCGACGTCGCCGGGCCGCCGCGGGTAGCCCGAGTCGACGTACACGTAGCCGCCGGGGTGCGGGCGGCGGTCGGCGGCGCCCTCCACGACGGCCCCCTCCGCCTCCACCGCGGCGCCCTCCAGGTCCGCGATGACGTCCTCGTCGGCGTCCTCGAGGCCGCGGCCCTCCAGCTGCTGCTTGGGGACGTCACCGCCGTGCCGCGGCTCCACCCACGAGTCCGCCGGCGCGGCCGGCCCGGTGAACGTGAGCGCGCTGCCCCGGCCCTGGAACGGAGGAATCCGACATGGTCATGATAGTGCTAACTCGTCGTTTGACTGAATTCGTGAGGCGAAGGCTCCCGGACTAGCAGCGCCGAGCAAAGCCTGCTGAGGTAGGCTCCCCATACAGAGGAGACTGCCCGTGGACTGCCCGCGCTGCCGGCCAGGGCGATCGTCGGCGCTGACGCTGACGTGTCCGAGAGGAGGCGGCGCCGGTGACCTTGGTCCGCGCCTCGACGATTTATCGAAGTCCGTCGAGCGAAGGGTCGAGACCATCGACGCACACCCTTGCCGCCCTTCTCGCGCGTGCCGGAGCGGGATCGAAACCCGCCAGACTCAGGGAGCTCTCAAACTAACGCACAACCATCTAGCCCGAGAGAGAGAGATAGGAAATATCCGATCATGCCAGAGTCATCTAATAAAATGCCATCCCACCAGCCCAGTTGCCCATTGACTCTCCTGATCACGAATTTTCTCCATTTTGAGTGGGTTTAGCACCGGATTGCGGCTGCACGGTGCTTGGAGGTTGCAGTCATGGCTCACCATGCTCCAGTCGAAGTCGTCGCCCTGGCGCGCGTTGCTCCAGCGGCACAGCCCCGCGGCGAAGGAGCAGGACAAGGGCAGCGGGCAGGCCTCCCCCGGGACCAGCGCCACCGCGTCCAGGGCCACGTGGCCGCGGTACGCGCGGCTGGGGTCCGCCGCCGGCGTGCAGGACGCCTCCACCACCAGCTGCAAGGACAGCCACTGTAAAACGAAAGCCGAACGGCACCCGCTGGGATTCGACCCGCCGCCACTCACGCGATGCGGCTGCGGCTCCGAGTACAGCAGCTGGGCGTGCAGCCAGCCGTCGTCGGGGACGTGCGGCGGCGTGGTGTACCAGAGCTCCCGGAGCACGGTGCGCGAGGACTCGTTGCGCGCCAGCAGCACGCGCAGCCCGCGCGCGCTCAGCCCCGCCAGCGAGTACCTGCAACGAGCACCGCGTCAGAGCACGCCGTCGACGAGCACGCCGTCGACGAGCACGCCGTCGACGAGCACGCCGTCGACGAGCCCCGCCGTCGACGAGCACGCCGTCGACGAGCACGCCGTCGACGAGCACGCCGTCGACGAGCACGCCGTCGACGAGCACGCCGTCGACGAGCACGCCGTCGACGAGCACGCCGTCGACGAGCACGCCGTCGACGAGCACGCCGTCGACGAGCACGCCGTCAAGCGAACAGCACCCACATGAAGAACAGGCAGCTGCCCTGCGCGCCGGACGCCGGCAGCGGCGGGCTCATGAGGAAGGCGCGGTCGCCGGCACCGTCCGCCGCCGCGCCCTCGGACGTCTCCACGAAGGCGTAGCCGCCGACGGGCGGGGGCTCCTTGTCCTTGTTTTTGCCGCGCGGTCCGCCGCCCTCGCCGTCGCCGCGCGGGCCGCCGATCCAATTGGTGGCCATGCCCGAGCCGGGCCGCCACCGCGGCGACGACGGCGACCTGCCGGCGTGGAGGGGCTTCCACCCGCACAGTGTGGTGGTCGGGTACAGGCCGAAGTCGCACGAGGCTGCACAAGAACGCGCAGAAAGTGAGGGAGCGAACGGGTAAGCGCGTTTACGGGACGAGCAGCCGCCGGAAGGATCGATTTTGATGACCGCGCCATTCCGGCGGGGGATCTTTCTGTCTCTATCGCACTCATGGGGCGTCCCGTAGGGGTGCGAGAGAGACAGAGCGACGGGCGGTCCTTCGGAATGACGTCATAACCGCGTTACAACGCCCAATCGAAGCGCCGGCCGAGACGGACAGCCGAACGACCAAGCCTCTACAATTTGGCGGCGTCGTCGGGAACCCCCGGCGAAAGCATGAAGAAAGGGCTTCGAGTGTACCTACCGCTGCTGGTGGTCGCGTTGGCGGGGGGCATGGTGGGGCGCGGCCGCGACGGAGGCGTCCCGGGCGTGGTGGACGTCGTCCTCCAGCCCGTGTCCATGGTGGGCCGCATGGTGCTGGTCGTCGACTGGTTCTCCGCTGGAGTCTTGAAAACGGAAAGTCCGTGGTTCAAATACCGCGCTCGGTTTTTTTTTGTTCCAAAATAACGGGAAACACTTACCTCTGGGGTGGGGGGTTCGTCGTTAGGGGGCGGCGGCGGTGGCGCGGTGGTGGCCGTGGGCTGGACTTCCGGCGCCGACGAGAAGGTGGACGAGAAGAGCACGACGGTGGTGGCGTCGATCCTCGTCGTGGACGTGGACACCACCGTCGTCCCCGTGGGCTGCTCCGGGGCCTTTACGCAGAAAAACGCGTTTTGATTTGAGCCCAGTGTACTTACTGCGCTCAGGAGCGTGAATTTACCAGTGCTGCGGATGGGTCCGCCGGGTCCGCTGCTTCCGGCGCCAGGGCGAGGGGCGTCGTCGGGGAGGTGCTGACCGCCCCCAAGGCTGGCATGGGCGTGGTGCTGGAGGCCAGGGCGACCACGTCGTCATCCTGCGGCAGTGTCACAAGACTCATTGGCAGGCGCTTCAAGAAAATTTTGGGCAACACAGGGCGCCCGGCAGGTAGGCAAGGCCGTGCCGTTGCGGCGTGAAGTGTTGCCTACCCCGCGCATGACAGGGGCGAAGACTCAAGCCGGTCTCCCACACTGCAAGGCCGAAACACGAGGGGTGTGGGAACGCGTGCCAGGCGCGGGGCCGCGGACGGACCGAACGGGGCCACCGTGCTAAATTGGCGAACTGTTTATCCGACTGTCTGCCTGTCCGCCCGGCTGTCGTTTCCGGGAGCAAGCCCCGCGGCCCAGGCCGGAGCGTATGTAAATTCATTAGCCGGAGCACCGGAACAATCCCGCGCCGCGACGCGACCAGCTGGTCGACCGCAAGCACTCGCAAAAAAAAAAAATTAGAAAAATTTGGAACTCTATTGCAGCAAAGTTTGTCGAAACGGTAACAAATGTTCAGAAATTGTGGTTTGGCCTGACTCCGTGCTGTCGTGACCCCAGGATCATGAATTCGGCCATTAAAAGTCGCTCGGGCGTTGCGTATCGACGGGCCACTCTCCTTTCCCCACACTGGCTGACAGGGCGGCAGATGGTCGTTGATACAGTGTAGGGGCGCTTCGACTGGCGCTGCGTTTGTCCGCGGAACGGAGATCTGGGCCACGCAGATTAGCGGGCCAAAGGCCCCGACGGCCCCAAAGGCACGGCCTAGTTAGGCATCGGCCAGGTTCAGCGAGCCGCAGAACGGTCGGGCACACCCGGGCAGCTAGAGTGCAATAGAGAGAGGAGAGGAGAGAGAGAGAGAGAGAGAGAGAGAGAGAGAGAGAGAGAGAGAGAGAGCGAATGGGATATCGGCCGATGAGCGTCAGTCTTTCCCCAAATTTTGTGCGTGTAGAATGGAGTTATTGAAGGACACGCCTCTATTGTAATTACGCGTGTATTGCCCGAACGCGTGTGTCTATCTGTTTATTCTAGTACGGCAGTGTGTGTGCGTGAGCGTATAAGAGAAAGAGAGAGTGTGTCCACACGAGGGCGCGATGCATCCGCAATTACTTCCCCTACAGTGCAGGCGCAGACACGGGGAGGGGGTGGCTTTGTCGGGGTGACACGCCATCAAGTAAACCCGCCATGATGTCACCCATGGGGAGGAAGAGAAAGCCCCCCCCCCCTCTTCCGACGCGAGCCAAATCACCGGTTAGCACGCCAACCCTCCGGCCCCGCCGTCGGCCCCGCCGTCGGCCCCGCGGTCTCGGGGAACGTTGAGGCAGGTCGGCGACGGCGCACTCGCTCCGTCTCTCTCGCACCCCCACGGGCCACGGCACGCGCCGTGAGTGCGAGAGAGACGGAGACACCACCGCGCCGTGCAACCGGAACCGAGGGCACCGCGGCCGAGTTTGCGCCGCGATTGGAGGATTTCGTTTCCCAGTGCGAAACTGGAGCGAGGGGGAAAAACTAACTCCGAATGGAAAACTTGTATTTTTTCTGCTTTTTCTTCTTCTTCTTTCTCCGCGCTCGGCTGGAATGGTGTATTGCGCAGGGTTAGGGTTCAGACTTCGACCCTGCCGCGTACAGCGTCGTAAAAATACGCTGCAGGTCGATACACGCGCAGTGCGCGAGCACGACAAAAAATAGCTCCCACTAACGCAGGTATTGCCCCCGCAGTGAACTTCCTGGCCAGTAATGCATTTTTCTCGCGCCGAAGCGTGCCGTTTTCAAAAATCGCGGCACAGACCGGTGGAGGCGGTCAACATCCCGGATGGGTTTTGAGCTGCGGAGTCGCCAAAGGGGACTCGAACCGAACGTGTGACCCCACCAATGGATTGCTCTCCGAACGAGGAATCCATTGGTGGGGTCACGCGTTCGGTTCGAGTCCCATTTAGAGACTCTAGAGCTCAAAGCGCGTCTAGAGTTTCGGCCGCCTCCACCGGTCTTCTGGCCCACTGTGCAGCGTTGGCTGTTCCGTGTTCGGTGCACGCGGCCGAGGTGCATAGTCCGCCTGACCCGGCCTGACCTACTTGGGGTAACTGGGCCGGCGGGGCCCGCAGGGGTCGGTCTCGTGCCGGCCGACACTCGAACACAACCCTTCGCCGTGCCTCGCTGCGCCTCGCTGCGCCTTCCGGGGCTGTCAGGGCACTGGGAGGGCTGTCTTAACAGCTGTTGCTGCTGGCGTCTCTACTCGAACCGAACGTGTGACCCCACCAACGGATTCCTCGTTCGGAGAGCAATCCATTGGTGGGGTCACACGTTCGGTTCCAGTACCATTTAGCGACTCTGGAGCTCAAAACGCGTCTAGAGTTTCGGCCGCCTCCTCCGGTCTTCTGGCTCACTGTGGTGCTCACCTGCGCCTCGGCGTGCTGCCCTCTGGTGGCGGCGAGCAGCAGCAGCGCCAGCCAGCAGCCCGTCATCTTGCCCCGTCACCTGCGGGCCGAACACAAGCAAGTTCCAGCATTTTGCATTTTTCACACGGAAATAATAAAGAACGAGACCAAAATGTCGAACTGCCGTTGTTTCAGTTCAGGTGGCAACCAGTGCCTTCCCCGTCCGACTGGCCGCCGTCCCAGGATTGCTCTGTCTCTGTCGCACTCATGGGGCGTCCTGTGGCGCCCGTAGGGGTGCGAGAGAGACAGAGCGATGGGCAGCGTGACTGCCGTGGACATCACCGGGCAATGCCCCGCCAGCGCCGGTCGAACACGGCGGTCGCTAGTAATGGATTGGTTATGCCACGCCGGAGAGAGAAAGAGAGAGAGAGAGAGAGAGAGAGAGAGAGAGAGAGAGAGAGAGGGAGAGAGAGAGAGAGAGAGAGCGAGAGCGAGAGCAGAGAGAGAGAGAGAGAGAGAGAGAGAGAGAGAGAGAGGGGGGGGGGGGTAGGGACACTAATGGGCAGCATTATATCGACGGTCCGAGCGTATCAATAACCCAGATCGTCGTGTCACCCGCACTGTAAGTAGGGTGGCACGCGTTTAAAAATGCACGTGCATCCCCAGCGGGACGGCAGGCCGGCCGGCCGAATCGAGGGACCTGGAGGAAGCCACTGGCAACCCCCTGTAGTCTGACGATTCCGAACGATTCCGGAGAGGGCCTCGTGTCTTTCTGTGTCTCTCTCTCGCACCCGAACGGCACGCCCCAGGAGTGCGAGAGAGACAGGCCCCAGCGACGCGTGCTCGGCGCGCGCACCGCACGCACGAGACAACCCGTGTTCGGCGTGCGATGCCTATCTCACGTGACATTGACACTGGCACGGGGGAGGGGGCTGCAGGGCGGGCCTTGAAACACTCTCCCAGTCCAAAATGGGATGACGAGCAAATCAGCGGGGTCTACATCGTTTGTCCGACCGACGTTTGTCCGACCTGCCGAAATTTGTCCGACCTCCTTTTCCCTTAAATTTTTGTCCGACCGACGTTTGTCCGATCGACGTTTGTCCGATCACTTTTCAGGGAAGAGGGAGGGGAAGAGTGGAAATATTCCACGACGTCAGTGACTGATTGGTCGTCAGGATGGACAAGTAAAATCAACACTATAAAGAAAATTTCAGCGAAAGAGGGCACCCCGGCGAACCGGCCCTCTTCCCCGCTGGCTTGGTGAGCCAGTGGTTCCCCCATCTCATCACAGGAGCAACCTCAGAGTTAAACCGCAGTGGCCCCGTCATTGGTCACGTCATCTGTGATGTGGAGGAGTCCTCTCATAGTAGGCCAGGCTGCCACCTTTCCCAGTAGTCGGGTTTCGATCCCCGGCCCCCTTCCCACTCAGGGGTCATGCTACTGGTACTCAGGAGTCTGCGTCACCCTGCCCAGCAGCGGAACCACTGGGCTATGAGAGGCACACTGGACGCCGGCCGATTTTGTATACTTAAACCGCCTTCTTGCGATGCAAGCTTGGTCAAAATATTCGTTTTCGTACTAGGTATCGAACCCCGGACCCCGCAGTTGGGAACCGACGCCTCTGCGCTCTCGGCCACCAAGGCCCATGTATGACGCTGTGCGAAGGGGAGCCTTTGAAGCCGCTGGTCCGAACCGTATAGTCAGACAAAAAGAGCGGGACGCGGGTATTCGATCGCTCGATCCGCGTGTAGGATTGAAACATCTCTACACGTTCGGCCACCGCGGCTCACCGGGGGAACCGAGTGGCGCGACGGATCCAAACCGGATCGGAAAGCCACTCCCAAAATGTAAAGAATTGTTGGGAGTCGAACCCTAGCCCCTGCAGGCGCGGGTCGACGCCTCTGCGCGCTCAGCCGCCACAGATTCTGGAAAGTCAGTTACATAGGGTCCCACTGCTGGCTCCACACTGTGGCATTCCGAGGAAATCATGATCACGCGCAGGGGCTAGGGTTCGACTCCCAGCAATTCTTTACATTATAGGAGTGGCTTTTCCGAAGCGGTTTGGACTGTTGCGCCACACCGCTCCCCCGGTGAGCCGCGGTGGCCGAACGTGTAGATGTTTCAATCCTACACGCGGATCGAGCGATCGTATACCAGCATTCCACTCTTTTTGTCTGACTATACGGTTCGGACCAGCGGCTTCAAAGGCTCTCCTTCGCACCACGTTACACATGGGCCGTGGTGGCCGAGAGCGCAGAGGCGTCAGTTCCTGCGGGATCGGGGGTTCGATACCCAGTACAGTAGTGAATATTTTGACCAAAGCTTGCATCGCTAGCTAGGGTTCGACTCCCAACAATTCTTTACATTTTGGGAGTGGCTTTCCGATCCGGTTTGGATCCGTCGTCGCGCCACTCGGCTCCCCCGGTGAGCCGCGGTGGCCGAACGTGTAGAGATGTTTCAATCCTACACGCGGATCGAGCGATCGAATACCCGCGTCCCGCTCTTTTTGTCTGACTATACGGTTCGGACCAGCGGCTTCAAAGGCTCCCCTTCGCACAGCGTCATACATGGGCCTTGGTGGCCGAGAGCGCAGAGGCGTCGGTTCCCAACTGCGGGGTCCGGGGTTCGATACCTAGTACGAAAACGAATATTTTGACCAAGCTTGCATCGCAAGAAGGCGGTTTAAGTATACAAAATCGGCCGGCGTCCAGTGTGCCTCTCATAGCCCAGTGGTTCCGCTGCTGGGCAGGGTGACGCAGACTCCTGAGTACCAGTAGCATGGCCCCTGAGTGGGAAGGGGGCCGGGAACGAAACCCGACTACTGGGAAAGGTGGCAGCCTGGCCTACTATGAGAGGACTCCTCCACATCACAGATGACGTGACCAATGACGGGGCCACTGCGGTTTAACTCTGAGGTTGCTCCTGTGATGAGATGGGGGAACCACTGGTCCACCAAGCCAGCGGGGAAGAGGGCCGGTTCGCCGGGGTGCCCTCTTTCGCTGAAATTTTCTTTATAGTCTTGATTTTACTTCTGTTACTCTGAATACATTTTGTGTTAAAATGTCTTTGGATTGTCCTGCATCCAGTCTTGATTGACATAGAGAGTGAGCCGCGGGTGTTTAGATCATTTGAGCGCCGCCGAGTTGCTCTCTAGCTGCAGCCTGATCGAGTGGCGGTGTAAGTGGGTCGGACAAAACGGAGGTCGGACAAAATTTTCAGCCGATTCACGGGCAAGTGAAATTTGGACAGGTCGTACAAAGGTCGGACAAACGATGTGCACCGTGGCCGCCCCCTTTGTCCATCCTGACGACCAATCTGTCACTGACGTCGTGGAATATTTCTACTCCTCCCCTCCCTCTTTCCTGAAAAGTGATCGGACAAACGTCGGTCGGACAAACGTCGGTCGGACAAACGTCGGTCGGACAAACGTCAATCGGACAAAAATTTAAGGGCAAAGGAGGTCGGACAAATTTTGGCAGGTCGGACAAACGTCGGTCGGACAAACGATGTACACCGCTCCAGGGTCGCTAAACGGGACTTGAACCAAACGTGTGACCCCACCAATGCATTGCTCTCCGAACGAGGAATTCATTGGTGGGGTCACACATTCGGTTCGAGTCCCATCGAGCGACTCTGGAGCTCAAAACGCGTCTGAAGTTTTGACCGCCTCCACCGGTCTTCTGGCGGATCCACTGTGCGCCGCCGTGCCACACTCACCGGCTGCCCGTGTGGCTGTTTGGCGCCATCCTCGGAGCACGGCGACGCTGTCTTTGTCGATCAGCAGGTCCCGGTGTCCGGGCGGTCCGGGCGCATCGCCCCGCCGGTGCACTGTGTTCCGTGTGTTCGCGGCGAGGCCTCGGGGAGGACTGCCGCCACTGCCGGCCACAACCTGTGGTGCCGCCGCAGTGCCGCGCCACGGCCACGGCGCCACAGCCCCTCGCCAGCGATCCAGCGAGCCGCGGGGGCGCGGGGGCGCGGAACCCCCTTGCTTGCAGAAATTCGAACACACTAGGAAAAATACACAAGGTGTGAGTTGAACCAAATACACTGGGTGTGAAATAAAAAAAAAAACAAAGTAGAACTAGAAAAACATACTAAGTGTGCGTTGAAAAGAAAAGTGATACAAGTAGTACTAGGTGCGAATTGAAAAAACCTTCTATTTGTGAGAAATAAAAAAAATACACTCTGCGAATCAAAATAAAATTACTAGGTGTGAATTGAAAAAAAAAACTACAGAGTGTGAATTGAAAAAAAAATGGAAGTGCATTGAAAAAATACTAGCTGTGAATTAAAAATATTCTAGGAGAATCGAAAAATCTGTCTGAATCGTCTCGTGGACCTCTGCCATGCGGAGACTCAGAGCTCCCCGGCTCCGCCCAGCCAATTTCTCATACTCCTCCAGGCGGGCCACCGCGCTACCCCACGCGTGCGGGGTCCATCGGCACGGAGTATCGCCGCAGCGCCGCCGGCTCGCCGGCCGGCCGCCAGGTGGAGGCACCGTGCAGGCACCGTGCAGGGACCGTCCATGTCCATGGCCGCGACGCGCCGCCTCCAGGCCCTCCAGGACGCGGAGTCTGGCCAGGATGAAGGCACTTTCATCTGTCTCCATGTCGGCATTCCCTGTCGGAAGAGTGAGCCTCTTTCACGCATTTTATTCTTTTGATGTAGAATTTGGCGCAACACTTCGTCTCTTGCGAGAAAAAAATCTTTTCTCTCGCATTTTGATGTATAGACGAAAATTCGGTCATTTTAACATTTTTCTTTTCAATTGTGTTGGTGTTGATACGCTACCCCCCTCTCATCAGACACCTCTGGTTCCGCCACTGTTGAGGTTGCGAAAGGTGCGGAGTAGATTTGATTGGCTACTTCCACCCAGGGAGGGGGAGAGGTGAGAGGGAGAGAGAGAGAGAGAGAGAGAGAGAGAGAGAGAGAGAGAGAGAGAGAGAGAGAGAGAGAGAGAGGAGGACGGGGTGACCCTCAGCCACCTCAATGGCGGTTCATTATTAAATACAACTGCGCTGACACGAACAGGATTAGGGCGGGCCTGACTAGCGATTCAGGAGAGCGGCTCGTCGCTCTGTCTCTCTCGCACCCTTACGGAGCGCTGCGCGAGTGCGAGAGAGACAGAGTGACGAACCGCTCTCCTGATTCGCTCGGCCGGCCTTCGCTATCACCCCATCTCCTTACCATCCCCCACCCCTTTCGCTGAATCGGCCCGCTCCGCTCAGCGGGCAGCCCAGGCTTCATGACTTAGAACAACAGAAATAGTAATGACTGTAATGATTGTAATGGCAGTAATGGGGCAACAGCCCCGACAATTACATCCCACGAAATATATACTGCCGGCCCCGTTCGAGGGGTGTCTGTCTCTCTCGCACCCCTGCGGCAAGCACCGAGAGAGCGACAGAGACAGAGCGACGAAACACGACTCTTCGGAGTCATCAGCGTCCTGCTGGATTAGTTCGTTCGCGCTGACTACGCGGGGTGCGTCTTCACCGGGCGGGAACTTTGACACACCAAAGTGGAGTCTTAATTCGGGAACTTGAGGCGGGGGGAGAGAGAGAGAGAGAGAGAGAGAGAGAGAGAGAGAGAGAGAGAGAGAGAGAGAGAGAGAGAGAGAGCATGCGTGTGGGCGAGGTATCGGGCGCAGACACTTCTGTTTTAAAAGGCCCTTCCATTACCACAACGCGCTGAAGCGCGACTGAGTTTCGCGCGTGCAAAGTATGGCAAATTGCGCGGCCAACTGAACAAATGCCCGTCTCACCGACGGTGTCGTGCCCGCGGACCGTTTCGTCGCTCTGTCTCTCTCGCACTCGCGGGGCGCTGCGCAGGGGTGCGAGAGAGACGGAGCGACGGATGCAAATGGGTGTTTGCGCTTTTGCGTGGACTTCGCCGCCCGGCGCGCTAAAGGCAGTGTTTTGGGGCCGTATCGAAATAATTAGGATGAGACCACCGCGTGGAAGCGGAAGTGCCCGCTCGCTCTGATTGGCCGTCGTCTGTCTCTCTCGCACACTGGCGGGACGCCCCGCGAGTGCGAGAGAGACAGAGCGGCCGGAAACTTGGGCGCGCGAATCGGTGGCGAGCCAAGCGGCTGTGTAAAAGGCAACTGTCCGCGGCAGCCCGGCTCCACAATCGCCCTCTTGAGGCTAATGACCGCGTAAGTCATAACCGTTTACATAAACGAACGGACGGACGCCGACAAGCGGCCGAGCAGCCACGGGAGCTTCGTGAAGCGCCGCACAGTGGGCCAGAAGACCGGTGGAGGCGGCCGGAACTCCAGACGCGTTTTGAGCTCCAGAGTCGCTAAGCAGGACTCGAACCTCGAACCGAGCGTGTGACCCCACCAATGGATTCCTCGTTCGAAGAGCAATCCATTAGTGGGGTCACACGGTCAGTTCAAGTCCCATTTAGCGACTCTGGAGCTCAAAACACGACGACTGGGTCAGCCTCATGTCCATAAACCACTTCCAGCTCACGGGCACATGAGCGTATCTGCCCGAGCGTTCTGCAAACAATGCGTGGGTCTGCCTGCGGTGTGCCGACACCGCTTAAGACCGCACGCCCTTTGTGCTGCAAATAGGCGATTTGCCTCTATTGACAGCCCAGGGCGGCCTGGGCCCTTGACCGGCCAAGTGCCCGGCGCCGTACAAAGTGTGGATCCAGTGATTACCGCCCTCATTACCCACAATTACGCAATGATTTGTGCCTAATGACGCTCGGTACACTGCGAGCCAAGGCAGAGCCAAGGGCAAAGGGCACCACCAACAAGCGGCTAACTGCCGCGCGGCTCGTTGGCAGTGGAGTGGTTTTCCGCGGCCGCGCGGTCAAGTCGCTTAGCGGCCCCCCAGCGGGGCACGCTCAGGACCCACCGCACAGTGGGCCAGAAGACCGGTGGAGCCGGTCAAAGTCCCGGACGCGTTTTGAGCTCCACATCGCTAAACAGGCCTCGAACCGAACGTGTGACCCCACCAATGGGTTGCTCTCCGAACGAGGAATCCATTGGTGGGGTCACACGATCGGTTCGAGTCCCATTTGGCGTCCCTGGAGCTCAAAATGCGTCTAGAGTTTTGGCCGCCTGCACCGGTCTTCTGGCCCACTGTGTGGGCCACGGCGAACTGGAGCAGAGTTCACGCTCGCCGGTCACGCTTCGACATTGGCAAACATATTTCAAAAGCACACAAATGAAAACTGCTCCGTACACTCCGAACAGAACTGGAGTGAGAAGAATGTTCTGTCATGGCATTTTCCTGCCATTTTTCTCTTTTGCGGAAGAGACCGTGAAGTTCATTCTGCCCAGCTTTGGCACGACAAAAGCCCTTGCCCCGAACTAGCCACGCTGCTCGTCGGCCAGTTTGAACTTCTAAAGCGTGCCGGGAGAAATCAGCATCAGTCACATTAATTCAAAGAGCGCTGCGGGGGAGGGGGTTAGGTCTGATAAAAGCAAGGGTGATTTATCCAGGACATTAGGCGTGTCTCGTTACGTCTCATTACAACCCAACAGATCGAAGCGGTGACCTCACCTGTCTCTCTCGCACCGAGGCGGATCGCCGCGTGAGTGCGAGAGAGACGGAGCGACACTGGGGCACCGCACCGCGGTACACCGCGGCTTCCTTAGGCCCCCCGCGGACGCGGCAGCGCTGGCATAGCGCGGCTAGTCCATCTTGTGTCACTCGGAGGGCTGCAGCGGCGCGCATTGGGACTCAGTGCACACAGACGGCCAGAAGACCGGCGGTGGCGGTCAAAGTCCCAGACGCGTTTTGAGCTCCAGAGTCGCGCTAAATGGGACTCGAACCGAACGTGTGACCCCATCAATGGATTCCTCGTTCGGAGAGCAATCCATTGGTGGGGTCACACGTTCGATTCGAGCCCAGTTTAGCGACTCTGGAGCTCAAAACGCGTCCGGGATTTTGACCGCCTCTACTACTGGTCTTCTGACCCACTGTGAAACGCCCTCTTCTGCGGAGGACACAATTCAACAATCAAAAAAATACATTCCCCTCACACTCCTTGTCACCGTCTCACGAGGAGTCGCGATATTCCGAGAGCGGTCGGGTTGTTTCTCGCGGCTAGCAGTTCAGAAATGATTACCAGTGGCGTTATTAAAACACTGAAGGGGTGGGGACTAGTGTTCCACCAGGCCGCGGCCAGCACTACAGCCGACCTGGCTGCATAAATTTATATCACACGGACCTCTGTAAATACGTAAAGTGTGCCTAGCGTGTTGTGTGGAAAAGCAAGTTTGCCCAAACAGACGCACACCAACGCACGCACGCACACACGCACGCACACACGCACACACACACGCACACACACACACACACACACGCACAGGCGGCAGATAAGCTCTACAATTACTGCCTTATTTCCCCGCTACTACACGACACGGGACGTACGGACATGGACGTCGAAAAAGATGGAGGAACGGTGCAAGGGGGTGGGGGAGCATGTTTCGCGTTTCACCGCCTTCTCACAAGTGGCGAAGTACACTGTCATGTCCGGCACACCGTTTTGCGCGGACTGCTGCTGACGGGCTAATTGGTCCTCTGGAGCATTTTACCTCAAATAAATTTTCTCTTCGGAGAATTATTTTTCTCTCTCTCGGCATGACAGTGTACCTGTCCAAGGACGCACAGTGGTGGCCAAACCTCTAGACGCGTTTTGAGCTTCAGAGTCGCTGAATGGGACTCGAACCGGACGTGTGACCCCACCAATGGATTGCTCTCCGAACGAGCAATCCATTGGTGGGGGTCACAACGTTCGGTTCGAGTCCCATTTAGCGACTCTTCAGCTCAAAACGCGTCTCGAGTTTTGGCCGCCTCCACCGGTCTTCTGGCAAACCCACTGTGTTTCGCCGTCCGAAAACCTTGGCTGCACATGGGCGTCCGCGGCTCCGCGGTCGCTCCCTGACAGAGTAGCGCTACCGCCGGTGATAAGATAAGCTTCCCGGTCTTGCACTCCGGGAGCCCGATGCCGAAGGACCGCTCGCTCTGTCTCTGTCGCACTCGCGGGGCGTCCCGCAGGGGCAGCAGGGGGTGCGAGAGAGACAGAGCAGCCCGCAGACCGCAGGCCGCGACGGCCACTGGCCGCGCCACTGCCGAGCCACTGCCGTGCCACTGGCCCTGCCGCCGAAACGGATGCACAAAACAAGAAGCTCGGCCATTAATCAAAAATTAAATTACAACTGTGCACTGTCACTGCTCCGCGGCTTCCCCCAACCCTTCTGTTGTTGATTCACATCAGTATTAAAGCCATTAATTCCGAATGGCCGAAGGCGATCTAGCGCCCTACTAGTGCCGCAGCGCCGCAGCGCCGCGCAGCGCCCTCTGTGCGGCCGCCCCACAGTGGGCCAGAAGACCGGTGGAGGCGGCCGAAACTCTGGACGCGTTTTGAGCTCCAGCGTCGCTGAACAGGACTCGAACCGAACGTGTGACCCCACCAATGGATTCCTCGTTCGGAGAGCAATCCATTGGTGGGGTCACACGTTCGGTTCGAGTCCCATTTAGCGACTCTGGAGCTCAAAACGCGTCCTTAGTTTCGGCCGCCTCCACCGGTCTTCTGGCCCACTGTGCGCCGCCGGAAACTGCGTCGTTCCTCTTTCACCGCCTTGTGCACTCATTACGCCCTCGCCACCCACGAGCCTCTGTCCGTCTCTCTCGCACCCGCGCGGGCCTGCCGGGCGCATGCGGGGCGCCCCGTGAGTGCGAGAGAGACGGAGCGACACGGAATGAGTGCGGCTTGACGGCGTCTCACTCGGTCGTTAGGGAGCCGTGATTAAATCATCACTCCATCATTGTCGGTGCGTTATTGGTCCTTAATGGCACTTTTCTAATTTCACGCACCGTTCCGAGATGTCAATTCAAGGGCCCAAGGAGTTGCCGCGCGGCAGCACAGCACGGCCCAAATGCGTTCCCACCCAAACGTCTCAACACCGAGAGGAAACAACCCAAAACGGAAGACAAGACTTGTTTGATGACTGCCGAAAAAAGTTGAGGCAAATCGACTAAAGTTTCGGCTGGTACTCTGAATTTCCAGGCACAAATTTTTGAATTCCACATGAGTTACGGATGAATTTCAACGATTTGCAGACAAAGTTCTCTGAATTTAAATAAAAATTTCACTGGTTTTTGAAGAATTTTTTTAATTTCGATCAATTTTTATGAATTTTGAATGAATTTGATTAAAAGTGAAGATTGACTCTGAATTTTGGGGTAAATATTTTTTGGACATGTTGACCCTTGTAAACGACTGTAAAGAAGTAGTGAGTAAATTCAAATTGAACCGCTAAAATTATCTGCCTTTCAATTGACTTGGCTTTATTTTAATTTAGAGTGAGCTGCATCAAAATTTACTGAGGCGGGCTGCGGTACTGTACACATGTTACAAGCCTCTGACAAATGTCGAAATGTCCGCTCGCGATTGCACATAAAAAGGGAAATCAGAAACGCCCCGACCGAAGCGAAAAACACGAAATAAACTAAAGAGCCGGCCATTTGTCCGCGTGATGGATAATACGGTTCCAAATCCAACCAGCCGCGTCGCTCCGTCCCTCTCGCACGCCAACGGACGGCCCGCGAGTGCGAGAGAGACGGAGCGACGGCTGGGCGCGCGCACCCCGTGCAATTCATCCCCGAAAACACAATGCTGGCCTGTTGGCCACGCCGGCCACGCGGCCACGCCACCCCGGCGGAACGGCAACACCATGTGGCCACAACAACAACCCTTCGCTCCCCTTTGACTCCTTGGACCCACAAATGGACTGATGGAACAACGCCACGCCACGCCGCGCCACGCCGCGTCGTATATTTTTGACACGCGGTGCGCGGTGCACTGTCGGTGAAAAGGAAGATTCCATTCCACACGACACCTCTCTCTTTTTATCAGAGGAACCTTCACCGGCACTGTAACGACCATACCGCCTCGGCTCGCTTCACTGTTGTTGTTGTTGTTGTTTTTTCGTCTACTTCGCTCCTATGTACTACCGCACCTCAGTCTCGATAAACTTGCAGGGAGAGCGAAGCGACAGAGTTTTGAAAGAAAACATCATCAGAGGGGAACTTGTTGAAAAAAAGCCCTCATTCCTCAAAAAATTTCAAAAAAATAAAAAAAAATTGAAAATTTTTAGTTAGTATAAGTTTGTAGCAAGTATGGTGCAAAAAAATTTTCTTGAAAAAAAAAAACAACAACAAACGAAGCCTCTGGAAATTACCACCGGATCATCAGGACGTACTTTCCGCGATTTTGCAATTTATGTTTCACAGTGCAGTATCTGAAAGCCGTTATGCGGCACCTGAATTCTGGAATTGCGTTCAGTACGGACGGACGGCCCCCTCGCTCGCCACGCTCGCCTCGGGCGGCAAAAACGTCCCCGCCTCGGCGCGCTCAAAGACGCCGCGCGTCGCCCTGTCTCTCTCGCACAATGGCGGGAGGCCCAGTGAGTGCGAGAGAGACAGAGCGACGCGCTACGCTGTAAACACATCGCATCGATGAGCCGTTTAGCTCCCAAACGGGCGACGAGTTACGGCGGCGCGTATTTTACGGTGCAACTGCCTCGCCTTGCCGCGGGACTTGCGCGGCTCTTGCGGTGCAGTGGCCCACAGTGGGCCAGAAGACCGGTGGTGGCGGCCAATACTCTAGACGCATTTTGAGCTCCAGAGTCGCTAAACGGTACTCGAATCGAACGTGTGACCCCACCATTGGATTGCTCTCCGAACGAGGAATCCATTGGTGGGGTCCCACGTCCGGTTCGAGTCTCATTAGCGACTCTGGAGCTCAAAACGCGTCTAGAGTTTTGGTCACCTCCACCGGTCCTCTGACCCACTGTGCGACCGGTCAAGCATCGAAAGCCCACGCGCCTATTAGAATACGGCTCACACAATTAGATTAATTAAGACACACCAGTCGGCGCGCTAATCGAGGGCGCCCACGGAGGCCAAATGTTTCGAAACGGGCGAAATCTTGGCGAAGAGATTAAGACGCCAGGATTATATAGAGAGCTGGCGTTTCTTAATTATCCAGTAGTCCGGCGCTTTGATTGGTCGGATTCCCTCACGCGAGTTTCATCAACTTTCTTCGACATTCTAGTTTTTCCCGGTCTCGATGAAGATAGGCATCGCCGCGGTGAGCTATATGTGCGCGTTCGTGGCGGACTCGGGGGGCGGGAACCGACTGCTGGGCTGGAGCGCGGGTTACCCGGATTACCACTCTTAAAAGCAAAAGCAAAAAACAAGGAAAAACATATATATTCTAGAGTTGAAATTTAAATTTAAAATCAGTAAATGAGTAACAAAATAATTTGAAATTCCAACGCGTTGGATTACTTCCCGACTGAAGGAGGATTACTTGCCGATTAACAGTGGATTACTATGGGTTACCCCGGAGAAAACCTTTCATTAGTTCCAGATTAACATTGGATTACGGCGGAATGGATTACTTCCGGATTACCCCGGATAAAACGCCGGAGGATTTTGGATTTATCCCGGATTACCTCTGAATCTTTCGGATCATCCCAGACCTCTGCTAGCCGGGCCACCAAAGCTTCGGCTGTTCTTCCTACGAGTCCCAAAATACCCAGTCGTGGTGTTGCGTGTGTCCATAATCATCAAAGTCAACTCTCTGCTGCAAAGTTCGGGAGCCGTCAATGAAACGCCGAGCAAAGTTCTTCGGCTGGCGCTGCCTGGCCAAACATTTGGAGTCGGTTAGCGCAACAACTGATTAACCAGCCAGCGGGCCTCCGGGACGGAGTCCGGGTGTGGAAAGGCATGCCTTGGGCGAGGCAGCCAATGGCAAGCCAACGGCAGAGGCAGGCGGTGTCAGCGCCTCTGGCGGCGGTCTTCGGGACCAGCCGCCCCCCCTCCCCGCCGCCGGCAGCCTTCGGGTGCCTCGGCCGGCCGGCCGCCCCGGGCGCTCTGATTGGCCGCGCGGCTGGCCGGCCGGCCAATGGGCGCGCCGCGCTGGCGGGCAGTGGAGGGGGAAGCCCCGCCGGACTCCTCCGGGCGGCCTGGGCAGCCGGGCCGTCCTGTTTGCTTAGACAGTGCCGGAGCGTCGGATGGGCCGGAGCTGTGTGCGTCGGGTTTGTTTTTGTGCTCAACAAGTGATGTGCCAGTGACCAGGAAGATGCCGCGCCCTTCCCGCGAGTCGTACGG